TCGGATGCCAAAGCGTTTCCCAGTTCTTCCGGGCGCCCGAACAGACTCAGCTCTTTCCCTCCACTTGTGAATCACCACTTATTTAATGCTTAGGTCAACTCAGTCTAAGTCTGGCATTGTTAACCACTGGTCCTCGTGCTGTGTTCGATTATATCCAACAGACCGTAACCGCAGTTAGAGCCCAGAGACGTCATACAGTTCTGATTTATGTTAATGAAATATATTCTCCATTTACTCTTGCCTGGCAGACTTACTCAAGCTTAAACCCCCCCCCTCCCTCCGTCTTCATTTCAATGAAAAGAGGCCTCTTTTGGAGATGAAAATGAGATGTGTGAATCCTGCAGGTTTTCCTCATAAACGGTTGCGTGCGATTAGTATGCACGGTGTCGGGGAGCGGCGGCGGCCAGAGTCTCCCCGTTTTAATTATGATTCGCGGGGCTGATGAAGACAGCAGAGCGAGGCAGGTACAGCCGCCCTCCCAGGGCGCCGCTCCTCTTGGCGATATCCGGCGGCAACATCGCCCTCGAGGGGACGCCGGCGGGAGGGAGGAGGCGTTAACACGGCACAAACACACACCTCTGCACACATAAACATACACTTTTTCGCTATACGTCGCTGCGAATTTTCATCCGAATCCATGCATAACCTGCCAGAACTGTCACACTCACTGCTCTGCTGCATTTCAATTTCCTCCACACACACACACACACACACACACACACACACACACACACACACACACTCCATATTAAACAGCTAAGCACCTGTTAACCAGACGCAGAGTTAATTGCATTGCTCGCTGCTCATCTCGACCTCAGACTGTGTGTGTGTGTGTGTGTGAGAGTGTGTATCGACAAAAGCGGGATTGATTAGCAATATCCCTGGGCTACTGAGCTGATCAGTGTGTGATTGAGGAGGTTTTGAATGCTACATTTGTAATTCTCTCAGCCGCCCTGAAAAAGGCTCCCGATAAACACCGGAGGCTTTGTTGTCCGAACACTTTGCCGGAATCCAGAGCTGAGTTATTCCAGTTCTCATTGTTTCCCCCTGGTTCCCGTGGAGCTCGGCCATGTTGGGAGCCTCCGGCCGGGGCCTCCTATAGGGGACGCGATGACAGATTGCGTAGGTGTGTGCGCGTTTGATGGATGGCGCGGCCGCGGTGTTGATCAGTGGAAGCTCAGGCCAGGTAGATGAGTGTTCCTCCACCACTGCGACCAGCTCGGCCTGATGGATGAAGGACATATCTGCCAGTACACCGGACCGGACGCACACATGTGAGCGAACATGTGTGCGCAAACACAACCCCCTCGGTACCCCCGGTGATGACAGAGTAGCCTGTGACCTTCCCAGCATGCTTTGCGGCGCTGCTGATGTCATGTTGTTCACGGGAGCCGCATTAATCATCAGTTTGTTTATGGCTCGTGGATTCATATGTGCTGGGAAATGCCGTCGTAACTACACGTGTTGGGCTTCGTTTGGGAGCTTATTTTAGTAATTGTGTTTATTATATAACCTCACACCGTCCGCTTAGGTGTGTGTGTGTGTGTGTGTTCGCTCGCTCGTGCTTTATATACGTGTCATGCACCCGTCAGGCCGGCCCTGTCCGACCATCGACGAAAGACTGATGAGCCGGCCTATTGATTAGTTGCCGGGGGAGACGGATGGCGGCCACACATCAGGGACACTCGGGGTCACGGTGGCCATCAGACGAGGAAGTGGGTGTGGCCCCCCGAGCGCGGCCTCATGAATAAACATGGCGGGCGGTAATCAGGAGTATGTAAATGAATGTGCTCATACATAACCCGGCCGTGATAAAAGTGTAATGAGTTATTCATAATTCACCGAGGCCTGATGAGAGGAGGGAAGGAACAAAGTGAGGAGCAGAGAGTCGGGAAGCAAGGAGGTGAAAAGCTGAAAGAAAAGGAAGCGATGAGGGACAAAAAAGAAAAGAAAAAGAACGAGCAGCAGATGAAACTTTCTTTGTGTCTTGATGCATGCGTCAGTTTGTTGTCGTGTTAGGCGGTAAAACGTGTCGATTGTGGGTCAGATGGTTCTGATTTGTCACTTTGGAGCTGAAATACTTTGATTTTCTCTTCATCAGACTCTCGTTTTTGGTGTTAAACCTGACGAGTGGTTGTTTTAAGAGCAGTGCTGCAACATAATGGAAAAAACAACAACATATTTATTGTTTCTGCCATACTGGAAAATACAGGAACTTCTACCAGGTGACTTGAATAACAGAATGTGAGGTGACTTTGTGTTTTTGGTCAACATTATCCTTTCAAAATATTCGTTTTACTCTTCACATGTGGAGCCTGTAAGTCAATAAACACTTAATCTAGTCAATAAAGTTTTAAAACAAACAACTCGTTGAATCCAGAAACCTTCAATCGGAGTAAATTATGTCCGAACAGACAGATTTCTCGTCATAGAAAATGTGAACCGGGAAAGTTTTCTCCTTGTATCAAGAAACAAAACAGTCGCTGCGTTTGAGTTAATTTGCATTTTCTCTACTGTTAAAGCTTGTCCTGATAATATCTGAGTATTTTAAAAAAAAAGCTCACGTTGATGTACTTAAAGATATCGTCGTTTTTAAGCTGAACATTTTATAATCGAAATATCAGTAATGTTGACGCTGCTTCTAGATGTCCTTAAACATGTTGATATTTGTAATATATCTGTCATGAACCACATTTATGGATAGTGGGATGAATCTAAAAGCACCTGAAGGCACCGTAGAGAGAAGAAAATGTTTTGTTTGCAGCGCTGACCAAGTGGAAGCAGAACTTCTGATGTGGCAAATAGAACTTTAACCATTATTTTTGAGCAGTTGTCAACTTTCAGCTACTTTCGATAACCAATAATCAGTTTGAGTCCTTTTTTTTTTTAAACAGTCCAGATTCTCTGATTACAGCTTTATAAACAAGTTTCATTCCTCCTCTATTAGTGAATATCTCTGAGTTGTGGACAAAAACAACATTTTCTGACATACACCAAATGAAAAATGTCGTTGCAGCCCAATACTGAAACTATAAAACCTCACTAATGCGAGGTGTGATGACCAACAAGGATTTAGTGCAAACAAAAACACGTGAATTTAATCAGACAGACGTTTTAGTTTAGAAATTTAAGAATTGTTAAGATGCTTTACACAGAAAAACCTTTGAACAAACCAACCGCTCTGTGGTCTAAAGGACCTCATATGCAATTAGAAACAAGAACATTTAGGGAAAAAGTAACTGATTAGTGGACAATGGAAATAATCAATTCTTAATCCATCCTGTGACACCTCACAAATGCACGTGAGCAACATGTATTTGATAGTTTTTTTTAAAGTGCGATAAACTCAGATTGGCCACTGGAAATTTTTGAACAGCAGTTCATGGATTTAGTCTTATAGTCATTTTTGTTGTGGAATTTAAGAACTGTGATGATATGTGGAGTTTGGGACAAAATCAACATGTCAGCGGTCTCTGATGGGCTGTTTCTAAATGAACTTATATGCAACTAGAAATCAGAAAATTGAATCAAGAAAATACTCAACAGATAAACCAACAATCTAAATCATTTTTACCTGCAACACTACATCCCTTTTTTTCCCACAAATTTAAGGGGCGATGACCAACAAACATTTGAGAGAAAATACATTAATACAGTCATACAAGCGTTTTAGTGGGATGCTTTACAGTGAAATGAGTTTCTAATATGAAAGATATCAGTGGTGAGCTGCTTCTAAATGACCTTATATGCACTATATCACAAGATTTAATCAGAATAATAATCAGAAGACTAACCGACAGTGAAAACACCACTTCTGTCTCTTCAAGCTCATGAAACTCAAGTCGTTATTGAGGGAATCACCATTTGTTTGAGTTGTTGTAACCAAATCCCAGTTTCACCGAGCAAACAGAGGCCCGGTAGTCGTCGTGTAGCCTCGTTCTGATCCAAACCTCCCCCCCCCTCTCCGGTCTTGGTGGGGAAGCCGCCCTCCGTGGCTCCAGCGGGGCTGCAGACAGCCGGAGCTCTGGGACCCGGAGGCCTCAGAGCAGCGACTGGGGGATTTGGGGCGACTGCGTGGGAGTGGTGGAGCGGGCAGGTACGCAGGCCTCCCCGTCACACAATAGAGCACTAAATTCAATTAATCTGAATGGCCGGCACGGCTGAGAGGGAGGGGAAGGCGTAAAGCTCTAAATGAGATTTTGCCCCCTTCTCTCCCCCCACTCACCCCAACACCTCTCCAGCTCCCCCTCCCCGGCACTCACCGCTGTCCCCAGTGCCAGGAGGTGATTAGAGACACACAGATATAATTAGAGGTGGGATGGTGTCGCCGTCGGTGCGTCATACGCCGGCGTTCCCCAGAGACGTGGCACGTGTGGCTGCTGCTATGAAACAAGATATACATTTATCTCTTATTTCTGAATGCTAGCTGTGTGGTGTTAGCCTGATGTGCACTCAGTTGGCATATTAGGCGTTTTGATGCAACGTACCTAAAGGGTCACTTCATCCAATTTGCATATTTTGGATGCTTTTTTGGATATAGTTTGCCCAGCTTGTCAGAAACCCATCTATGAGATTCCAGCTGCCAACCAGAACCCTAGACGGGAATGGATTTTGTATTCTGGTGCTAAAAAAAAAAATCCAGCTTCTCTTTTCAGAATTTATTGGGTAGAAACTAGTTCCAAATTAATACGGCTCACGTGGAAGTTTGTGGATTATTGGAAAAATCAAAACCCAAAATAGGTAAATGTTTTTAATATGAAACAAGACATACGTTTATCTCTTATTTCTGTGTTTGATGACTGAATGCTAGCTGTGTGCCGTTAGCTTGCCTGGTGCACTCACATTCACCATATTTAGCATTTTTTATGCAACATACCTACAGGATCAGTTCATCCAATTTGCATATTTTGGATGCTTTGTTGGATATAGTTTGTCCAGCTTGTCAGAAACCCATCTATGAGATTGCAGCTGCCAACCAGAACCATAGAGGGGAATGGATTTTCTATTCTGGCGCTAATTGCTCTGAAAAATTTGCATTTAAAAAACATCCCTTTTCAGAATTTGTTGAGAAACTAGTTCCGATTTATTACGGCTCAGTTTGTGGATTATCAGAGAAATCAAAGCCTTAAACTTCTAAATGTTTCCCGTATAAAACAAGATATGTGTTTATCTCTTGTTTCTGTGTTTGATGGCTGAATGTTAGCTGTGTTCTGTTAGCTTTACCTGGTGTGCACTCACCTGACATGTTTAGGTTTTTAATCCAGCGTAGCTAACGGGTCAGTCTACCCACATGGCATATTTTGGAGGCTTTTTCAGAGACAGTTTCAGTTGTATTCACCCAGCTTGTCAGAAATCCACCTTTGAGATTTCAGCCGCCAACCAGAGAACCATAGAGGTGAATGGATTCTGTATTCTGGCGCTAACCGCTCTGAAAAAAGTCACTTCCCAGAATTTTTGGGGGGTAGAAACTAATTAAAACGGCTCCCACTGAAGTTTGTGGATCATTTGGAGGAACCAAAGCTGCAAATGTGGAAACGTTTCTGCAGGTTTTTGGTATTTTTTACATTTTGAAAGGTGTGAACAGCACAAAAAAAAAATCTCTGCAACCTGGACACTCATGTAATCCAAACTATTTAGCTGTGATATAAGCTGTCAGTAACTCCTTATTTATTGTTAACAACTATATTTTGCACTCTCTTACACACATCTATAGCTTTACATAGATGTTTAACCTGTTGCCCTTGTTTGAATCGGCATGTTTTTGTTTTTGTGGAAATGCTTTGAAAGAAGAGAAAACACCAGAGCTGAATTCACACACTTGTCCAATAAAGCTGCTTCTGATTTTATCAATGACGATAATAAAATGAAGTGGACTGACCCGCTGCTTTCCTCTCTCTCTCTCTCTGTCTGTCTGTTTTTCTCTCCTGCTCTGCTCTCAGGGAAGAGGATAAAAACATCTTTGACTACTGCAGAGAAAATAACATCGACCACATCAGCAAGGCCATCGGCTCCCAGAAAGTGGACGTCAATACTAAAGATGAAGAGGTATCCGCAACACACGGTGCCAAGAAATATGCGAAGTGAAGCTGTGGCGGCTCAGACTTGCTATTAATAGTGCCACTCGAATAGATTATTACCATGACAACGCTGTCATCTCCACACACACCGCTGCCGCCGAGTCCGTACCAGCTGGGTGGCGTCGCGCTTTGACCCCCCCTCGGTGCAGGAGGGCAGGTGGAAATGATCGGAGATGTGTCGGGAAAAATACAGGTCACTGGGGGATAGTTCACGCAGCTCTTTTTGCAATCGTTACATAATGGTTTCAGTGATCTGCAGCCACACACACACACACACACACACACACACACACACACACGCTGCTCAGGCTGAAATGCGTAAATTGTGTGAGCCTGCTATTACCATCGCAAGGTGTTTTCTGAACTGACCCCGGCATCCATTCATCTGTCCTTGATTCATTAGCGGCCGGGCCAAGTGGCTCGCTCCCCGCCGCTCTTTCACGGCGGCCGCCCCGCAGACGAGCGGGCAGTCGGCCGGCGGGTTCACAGTCGGAGGCCAGATGGTCGAGGGACCTCTGCGCACAAAGCTTTGTCTGTGCTCGGCTCATTGTTGGCGTCCCTCCTCTCGCCTGCAGTTCGGTTCCGTCCGCAGCAGAGGGCAGTGGTGAAGTTTGACAGCAGAGGGAGGCCTGATGTGCAACTCAGAGGCAGAGATGCTCCATCACATGCTTCACCTCTTTATGAGCAGAAATCCACCTGTTTAGTGTATTTCTGGTGTTTACCAACAACTACCAGTTTTCAGTTCACATCTGGACGTGATGCACTTTGCTCTTGGTTGCTTGTATCCAGATTTTATTACAAACTTTTGTCTTTTTTTAGATAATTACCATCTCTAATGTGACTCCAGTAGAGTTATTTGATAGTTTTATTACACAGAGCAACCAGGACTATTATTACTAACGCCACAGAAAAGCATAATACGATAATAATCACATATGTACAGCTAAATGATAAAACATTTTTAAAAAGAATGAACCTCTAAGACTCAGATGACTCTATTTTGCAGCCAGTTCATATAAGTTAGAATACAGTTCCTCATTTAAGCCATACAGTCTGACAAGAATGCACATTGTTTGGAGGTAAATAAACCAGTTTATTTATTGTTTACCAGACAAATGTAAACAAACAATTCCAACAAACATCTGTATTATATGATTAATAGTTTTTCAGAATCAGCAAAAGCCCCGACAGTCTAATTATCAGTGCAGTTCTTACAGTATTTAAGTTGGGAGGAACATGTACATTTGGTGTATTTGGTTCTGAAAGAGTTTTGCAGCAACAGATTTACTTGTTGAATCTGGCACGTCAGGAATTAAAGGACTTCCTGCTTTGTATTCCTTCATTGCTGCCAGATAATAATTTATGGATTTGAATTCTGCCACAACTTTTTCAGGGACGTTTACCTGCAAACTGTCTGAGTGGACGAAACCTGAACGACAGTCTTTAACTTCTTTTAGGACTTTTAATTCCTGCCTTTAATTTGTGGGGTCATTGCATCTTTGTGTTTAATTCAACTGTGTCTCAAGTTCGATGTTTAATGCAAACACATCTGAATTACTGTCCTCCACGTTCCCGTTCTTTAGCTGTACGTTAACGTTTTGCATGTTTACCGTTATGTACAAGCTGTTAAGTGCACCTGTTAGAGCTGAGCGAGTAAAAAAATACAAGATAGAAGAGCAGAAAGAGGCAATAATGGTTTCAGAAATATGTAAATTCAGTGCACCGTGCATACATACGCCGCCCAGGGTGTGCATGTTGTGTGTTTTTGTGTCTAGACGCCCTTTAGCGTCACTATAACCAGCGCTGCTGTCCTCCACAGTGGGCAGGAGTTTGTCCAGTTAGGTTAAAGGAGGCTTTTGTTTGTTACAGACCTTCTTCATGAGGCCTGATCCAAACTTTAATTCCTAATTCTGAATGATTCTATTCGTTCGCCCCAGAAGCACCACATGTGTTACTGAGTTTGTACGGTGGCCCGTTGGAGCCAGAAAACTGTGGCCTTCAGCGGAGATGTGAGCTTCAGTCAGCAGCAGCTCACCTGGAGGGAAGGAGGGAGAGAAGGAGGGAGGGAAGGATGGAGGGAGAGAGAGAGAGAGAGGGAGGGAGGCCACCTTATTGGTATTCTGGCCTGGCTCATAAGTATCCATTTTAACATGCAGCCACGGTGATCAATATGATTTAAGCAACAGAATTGGACTTGGAGAGTTTGCTTTACCTAATTGGCCTCACTGAAAAATGAGCTTGTGTGGTTTTATTAGAACGAGGATCTTGGACCTGAGGAGAGGGATGGTGTGTGTGTGTGTGTGTGTGTGTGTTTGTGTGTGTTTTAGATAGCGTAGGGGGGCTGCTCATGTTTGGAGCGCAGCGTCCCATCGATCAAGCTTTACAGAACGCGTTGCCATTTGTCCCGGAGACTTTGGCGTGCGCGCTGCGACCACCTACCGGTCCTCCTGGAGAATATCCGAACACTAGACGCACTCAGAAGTCCAAATATCTCATCGCTCTGTCTGCAGGTCTTTACGGAGCTCAGGTTCATAAAGAGGCTCTGAGTTCTAAATGCATAATTTATTGGTTTGTCTGCGAGCAAAAAGAAACGCATTGAAGTCTGCTTAATTTTGAATTAGAGGAGGGAAACAGGTGAGGAGAGGGATGATGTGGCCGTGAATGCAATGTAAGAGGTTTAAATTTTAGGGTTTGAATATCCAGTAAAGATGATATGAGATAAACTTTATGGGGAAATTCACATGTTACAGCAGCTAGATGCAAATAAGAAATAAAATAACCTATACTAAGGCCAATGTACACCTTTAATGTGACCTAATGGATGGTACAGAATGCACTAAGTTCCTGTTTTTGGCTCCTATCTGCAGATTTTCTTGTTATTTCTGAGCATCTGCAAAACAAAAAATGTCTATCATGCTTCAGGAACGTTCTTATCATGTTGTTGCTGTCGTTCCTCCCTGTGCAGGAAAAACCCTGAACGTTAAACGTTGAGCCGTCCGCTCTCGTTTTGGTTGACAGTCGTTGTGTGTTTTTTGTTGGCAGGGTCGCGCTCTCCTGCACTGGGCCTGCGACAGAGGACACAAGGAGCTGGTGTCGGTACTACTGCAGCACAAAGCCGACATCAACAGTCAGGTGAGCTGCTTTTTTTTTCTTCTCGTCTTTCCGTCTCTTCTCTCAATGTGTCAGATCCAGTCTGAAACACAATATGTCTAAACAGGTGATTTGTGAGCGAAAACCTGTTTTTGGCAGCCGTAAACTGCGTCCAGGTTGAGCCTACACATCAGATTACGATGATACGACGCTGGACAAAGACTGCTGTTGCTTTAAACATCTGTAGCATCTCATTTGAAGTGTTGCTCAAACGTCCGGCTTCGGGTTCTCTTTGGTTTAAGTTTATCCTGTGACATCAAAGACAACTTCAGCTGTCATTTCACAGAGCGGTGTTGAAGTTTACTTCAGATATTTTGTTCGAATTTTGAGAATTTTACATTTTGAGAGCTGAGAATTTTTGTATTTTTACCCTCACAACAAACTTCTTACTTGGGAAGACTTTATAAGGGTTCAGTATCTCCAGAAATAGCTCCTACAGATATGAAATTTGGTGAGAACGCAGACAAAACAGCTCAAGCAGAGGACAAAATTCTAATTATTGGCTCTTAAAAATGGAGTAAAGTACAAACTCTCACACGAGGGTGATCGTGGAGCCACAGAAAGTTCCTCTAAGTGTATATATATACACGGACAGATCCATATTTTCTACTAAAATACAGTCTTTGGTCGACATTTCACCAACTTTTAGGCAAGACAAGGCTCCAGTTTTTTGCTGTTTTGACAAAATGTTGATTTAGACTCATTGGTGAGAGCATAAAAATAGTGTATAGACGTGTATATGTTGTCATTTTAATGTGTAAAGTTATTGTTCTCATTGAACACGTGAGGCTGCAACAGTTTTGTGTCGTCACCAGATTTCGTGGCTCTGGGACGTCCTGGAGATACTGAACCTTTCAAAAAAATGGCTTCTCAAAATATGTGAGAATTTAGCAGAAATATTTCCCAGAACTTCGCTTTGGGTCCCAAATGACAAATGAGCAAACTTTGGAGCGACACACTTCCAACTTGTTTCTGCAGCATCTCTGTTTTGTTATTAGATTTCACCTTTAGTATAAATTGCTGAACTCTGGAGCTGGACTCAGGTGGGATTTTGTGTTTTTTTTTCCAGTGGAAGAGCATAACTTTCATGCACATTTATGATTCTGTGTAATTTTAGAAGTCACTACTGAATGCGTCTGATGCAGATGAGTACATTTCAGCGTCTATACTCGGCAGAATTAGGACGGAGATGAAATTTCTGTAGCGCCGATGCGAGCATATGCACAGGTAAACCCGAAAGGCAAACAGTGACATCTCCGGCATCCCCATTGCCCTTCTCCTTTCTCCCTCCATCCCCTCCAGAAGGTCACCTTTAATTCACTTTGTGCCACAGACAAATCCCTCGGGGCTTTAGCAGACAGAGTTAGCCGGTAGCTAGCCTAGTGTTTAGGCTCACCAAGGTTTAGCAGCATCCAGGAGGCTTTAGCTTTGGCGGTAAGCTGGCTCAGCTGCGCATCGGAGAAATTACTCCTCTTCCCTGCCCCGGCGGCACGACACGGCGCACTTCATTGGGCTGCACACACTGAGGTTTTAACTGTAAGGACGAATCAATTGGAAGTAATCAGGCAAATTGTTTTACGTTGCACAACCCCACATAATCAGGACATTTCACAAATGACTTTCTCTTTTGTGGTCATGCGTGGCCCCTTTTTGTTTTGAGCGCCGGCGGGGAGGGCGGGTTGGATTTGTGGCGAAGGCCTCATAAAAGACTTAACAGTGGGATAACTACGAAACACTTCACTGATGATTTACAGCCATATCAAGATAATGACAGCAGAAGAGGATTGATGTATAGATGGAAGCTTTTGTCCCTTTTTTTTTTTTTCCTCCCCCAAGATGTAGTGCATTTACAGTCATGTATCTATCATTAAAATATAAATTAATATCTCTAAGTGCCAAGAGTTTTCAGCAGTCGGAGCCGGAAGCATAAATCTTTGCCCAGGTAGAGATGTTGAAGGGAGGAGTTTGAGCAGACTTTTAATGTTTCTGGCTCACTTTTGTCTTCACTTTTTTGTTTGTTTCGTCGTTATCGATCACTTGTAATGAAGTAAACACAGATGATTGATGAATTTGAGTTATTTAAAACCCTGCTTTTGAGGAAAAAAAAATAGGTAGATGTTTCAGAAGCAGCCAATCAGAGCGAATTCATGCATTCAGGCGTCTCCACCTGCCGTCTCTCTCTCAGGTGTCTGAGCCGGCCGGCTGCAGAGGAGGCTGAATATTAAAGAAACCGGACCTCGGCATCAGAGTTACTGGTAGCAGATTTATGAGGTGGCAAAGAGGTGGCGGAGAGAAAAATATGGTGCAGCTAAATCATACCACTCTGTCGCAATGCCAAATTATCTCACTATGTAAAGCTTAGAGAACGATATGCTTCTCATTAGAACCCGCTCGAACATCCTTTTGTTCTGTTTGTGTTTTGTTTTTTTTTTGTCTTGGAGTTCAGTCAAGGAGGAAGGAAGCCGAGAGAGAAGGGAAGGAGAGTATTTTTTTGTTATACTGGAGGAAGATAAAAAGACGGTTTTATGCCTCCGTCCTTTTTGCCCGAAGCCCCTTTGACGGGAAGCGACGACCACGCGAGGTCGTGCGTGTTCACGAGCGCAATAGAGGAATGTTTGGGTTGTTTGCGGGCTATTAGAGCGACCAGTAATCTCTCTTGACCTCCACCAACTGCCGAGCAACCAGTAAATAAAGATCAAACATGATTTATGCTTAATTTGTTGATTAAAAAAAGGGGAGGGGGTACTCGAGAGTTAAAACAAAAAGTATTATTATTATTTGCTTGGCAGAGGAGGAAAATCATTTGAAATTAATCAACTGATTGTTTTAGTGAATTGTTCCCAAACCCTGGTAACCTGCATTAAGGGCCGGTTTTGATAGTTAATCCAGGATCAAGGCGGGGAGGGACGACAATAGGTAGCCGTTTGAATACGCAGATCACAGATCAGCCACCTGCCAACTGTAGAATCGGGTCCTGGTGTTGGTTCAGTACATTAAACCCTCCTCCTCCTGCTGCTGCTGCTGCTGCTCACCGTATCACTGCTGCCTCAGCTAATACTCCCAGAGAAAGTGGGGCAGACGGCAGCAACTGTGGGAAAACCTCCCCTCATGTAATAATGGAAATTAAGGCTTAAATACTTACATTCTTTGTGCTAGAATGTATTTAAGCGCGTTAACGGTGAACGAGCTTAAGTTTTTTTTTACATTCCATCATATCGTGGAAGCAGCGAGGACCGAATCTGCACTAATTAGTGTTTAAATACAACAAGAATAATGTAAATATTTAAACCAAAATGTGCTCAGATAAACAAAACCTGTCTCCCTTAGGATTAGAAGGGCCTCTAGGTATCTCTGGGTGTGTTTAAAAAACCTTGTTTTCTTCAGAAGAACTAAACCAATCTACAGATTTCAAGTATTATTTTAATAACATACCTATTTGTTGCTGCCTTTTAGAGCTGTTTAACCTGCTAGTTTATAGACATTAGCTCTTTTTTACACTGACGGTGACACAGATTTCGTAGCCCACCACCCAACATCAGGTTTGTCCCTAAATTAACACCACTGCTAATTACCACAGTCATTCATATGTTTCTTTAATGGTTAATACACCAGTATGTAGACGCTCTTTAACCAAAATGATTTGAATTTTCAAATTTACTGTTTTACAAACAAAAAAAAAGAAAAAAAATAGTAAAGCACGTGAATATTTCTTGGTTAAGATGCCAGAATCTAGTTATTTACTTGCATTCCTGAGCAGGAAAAATTTAGTTTTTGTTTTTTTAGATATTATTTTTCTGGCGATTTTGCCGTTATTAGTCAGGACAGTGAGAGAGAGAGGCAGGAAAGGGGGCAGAAGAATGAAAGAAGAAAAGAAAAAGAAAAAAAAAGAAACCTGCAGCAAACTGTTGGGAGTCGAACTCATGAACGCCGCGCCGGGGAACTATCGCCCCTGTTCACGGGTCGCCCGCTCAACCAGGTGAGCTATAGGGGCGCCCAAAAAATATAGTACTAGTGGTTGAATGTGATGCTTGATTCATTTCTCAGACAAGTCCAGTGAATCGGCTCAGATTTGGGTATCAAAAGGTGAATTCAGTTTGAGATTCCTCGCTCCTGTTGACAACGGTAAAGAGCTGAGTGCAGATTAAAGCTCTTCATGATGCTGGACGGTCTATAAATATCTATACAGTGATTAACGAGTTAGACAGGTGGACTAATAAACGTGTGAAGCGCTGCATCTGGCACGTTGGCTAATTGAAACAAGAAAAGTAAAGTGTAGAAGTGTTACAGACATGTTAGAGGGCAACACAGATACAGTTTATTCATCCAGAGAACATAGTTCATTTTTCATTTCATTTTTTTAAAATTTCCGTCCCACGCTGCACGCATGTTCGTCACAGTTCTTAGGAGAGCCTCGAGGAACCCTGCTCGCTTAAAAGAACCTTTATTGTCTTAATTCAAATCAGGACAATACAGGACTCCAGATGAGTTCCTGGAGTGTTTATTTGGAGTTAGGTTTTGGGTTAACTGATGCTTTACGCTTGAATTTACACTTATTGCATCAAAAACGTCCCTCGAGGCTGTTCCACTTCTACGACTTCTACGTCAGATTCTAAGTCAAGTTTGTTTTCTTTAAATAAATGTTAACTGATGTAAATTACACTGGGTTACAACATAATACTTTTTTGAAGGTGTCTTGGATTTTTTTTTAACTGATTTAGGATATTTTTGCAACTTTGAATCCAAAAACCATCAGCTTTTCTGTTTCAGGTCAGGTTTTTATGCCAACTCGATTTTTAAAAAATCGGTTTTGCCATGAAATAAATTACATTTTTTGACATTAGCGATTGATTTATTTTAGTATTTCTCATATGAAATCGGATTTTAGAGGAAAAATGTCATTTTCTAATCCTATTCATGAGCTAAATGATCCTAAAGTTGATGAACGTAAACGTTTGTAAAGGTAAATACAAGTAAATTGAACG